CCTGCGAACAAGCAGCGGACCAGAGCTTTCTCAGAGCCGGCGGCAACTTTGTGATTTCTGTCCTCTAGCTGTGGCCCTCTGCTTGGGAAAATCCCAAATGATCAGCCCCTTAGTTTGCAACCGGAATTGACATACGCCCTCAGTTATAAAGTAGGTTCCAAACATCAGCTTACCTTTCAGCAGCTTTTATTTGTTTATTTATTTTTAAATATTTTTTTTATTGATTTCAGAGAGGGAGAGGGAGAGAGAGAAACATCAACGATGAGAAAGAATTATCAATCGGCTGCCTCCTGCACATCCCCTACTGGGGATCGAGCCCACAACCTGGGCATGTGCCCTTGATCAGAGTCAAACCGGATAGGGCCACCCCGCCCACCGGGACCCCTCAGTCAGCAGGCTGACACTCTATCCACTGAGCCAAGCCAGCTAGGGCTTTCTGCAGCTTTTAATTCCCTCCAGAATTTTGGCTCCTTTTATCCTTTCTCCTTTGGCAACTGTATCATGCAGTTAAACAGATATTTTTTTAAAAAATTATTGAATTATTTTAGTCATTTTCCTAGGGACTTATTGGTGTGCTGCAAGCTACTCTGTTCTACCTGGCAACAGACCTTTGAGTCACCGTGTGCTTGACCCGAACTCTATGTGCCTCATTTAAAATGGATTTTGTGATAATTACTTGAAGTGGGAAGTGTTGGTCTGGCATGTCTTTAAGAAGATCTCAGACCAGCGCAGCTCAGTGGGGGACCGTTGACCTAGGAGCCAGGAGGTCACGATTCAATTCCCGGTCAGGGCACTTGCCCAGATTGTGGGCTCGATCTCCAGTGCGGGGTGTGCAGGAAGCAGCCGATCAATGTCTCTCTCTCATCGATGATTCTAACTCTCTATCCCTCTCCCTTCCTCTCTGTAAAAAGTCAATAAAATATATTTTTAAAAATAAAATAAATTAAATATAAACAGACACTTAGGGGGTGAGAGCATGTGCCGGGGGGTGGGGGTGGGAGGAGGTAAATGGGTAAATTTCTAACAGCAATCTCCTTAACAACCTTTCAGACCAGGGTCCAGGGACATGCAACTCGCCATCTCATGACAGCTGTTCTGAGAAGCCCTAATTGCTGGAAAGCAAGTTAAGATATTTTTTTTAAAAAAATTTATTGAATTATTTTAGTCATTTTCCTAGGGACTTATTGGTGTGCTGCAAGCTACTCTGTTCTACCTGGCAACAGACCTTTGAGTCACCGTGTGCTTGACTCGAACTCTATGTGCCTCATTTAAAATGGATTTTGTGATAATTACTTGAAGTGGGAAGTGTTGGTCTGGTTTGTCTTTAAGATCTCAGACCAGCGTGGCTCAGTGGTGGACCGTTGACCTAGGAACCAGGAGGTCAGGGTTCCATTCCCTGTTGGGGCACAGGCCTGGGTTGTGGGCTCGATCCCCAGCGCGGGGTGTGCAGGAGGCCGCCGATCCGTGATTCTCCTTCCTGGCTGTTTCCCTCCAGATCCATTTACTTGGTCCTTCAATGAATAGCTAAGTGCCTGGCAGTAAGAATCATGGACCGGCTGCCTCCTGCCCGCCCCACACTGGGGATGGAGCCCGCAACCTGGGCATGTGCCCTGATCGGGAATCGAACTGTGACCTTCTGGTTCAAAGGTCAATCAATGCTCAATAGTGAGCCACGCCAGGCGGGCAAATGCATAACATTTGAGAAGTGTGTCCGTTGGGAAATAATCCAAAGCAGAATTTAAACATTTCAACAGGAAGGAGAGAGAAATAAGCTCCAAATGAGGAGAATTTTTGCTTCTCTCTTTTTTCTTTGTCCGCCCTCTGACATTGATATGGGAGTTCCAATGAGCTGGGAAATGGTCATAAAATGGATAAAAGGATAAGGAAGTGGAGAATAATTCATCAAGGAGGGCCTTATGCGTTAACTAATTGAGAATTGACGGCAAAGGAGGAGGTATTTTTTTTTTTAAATCTCATTTGGGGTAAGATTTCTCAAACCACTTTTTTTTTTCTTTTTACTCTGCTTATATTTCAAATCAATTATCTCAGGAAATGCCAACGTAGTACTGTGAACAGTATAATTCCTCTAACATTATTCTCGTCTTTGTACTTGCCCCTGTATGGTTCACAATTCTTTCACACAATAAAAGCCTCAAATTAATGAAATGCTTTCTCTTTGAAATTCAAAATGCATTCTCCACATTACTGTTTAATTAATTCTCAAAGCATTCCTCTGTGAAGTGGGCGTGTGGTGGGGAAAAAAAAAGTCACTCTTCCCCTTTAAGACACACAAGAAGCAGCTGGGAAGGGCAGATCCGTTCCATCCCGGTGAAACTTGATGCTAATTCAGTGTTATTTTGAAAATTTTTATTTTTCAATCTTTATTGTTGAAAGCATTTTACTGGTCCCCTTTTTCCCACCCTTAACTTCTTCCAGCCCACTCCTGTCCCCCACCCCACTGTCTGTGTCCATGGCTGATGCATGTATGCACACAAGTTCATGGACTGATCTCTTCCCGCCTACCCTTTCCTTCCTTCCCTCTGAGGTTCAACAGTCTGTTCATGCTTCTCTGTCTCTGGGTTGATTTCTGATCATCAGTTTATTTGGTTCATTAGATTCCACGTATGAGTGAGATCATGTGATACTTGTCTTTCTCTGACGGGCTTATTTCACTTAGCATAATGCTCTCCAGGTTCACCCATGCCCTTGCAAAGGGTAAGAGTTCTTTCATTTTTTACAGCAGCGTAGTATTCCGTGGTGTAGATGTACCACAGCTTTTTTATCCACTCACCTGCTGATGGGCCCTTAAGCTGTTTCCAGATCTTAGCTATTGTAAATTGTGCTGCTATGAACATAGGGGTGCATATGTCCTTTCTGATTGGTGTTTCTGACTTTTTGGGGTATACTCCAAGAAGTGGGATCACTGGGTCCAATGGCAGTTCGATTTTTAATTTTTTAAGGAAACTCCAAACTTTTCCACAGTGGCTGCACCAGCCTGCATTCCCACCAGCAGTGGACTAGGGTTCCCTTTTCTGATGCTAATTCAGTTTTGTCCAACGTTGTTGTCTGTGTGATTCTAGTCCACCTAGTCTTTCCACCAGAACCATGTTCATGGATTGATTTACTCAAGAAATTAGCAGATACCGAGTGGGTGCCAACTCTATGTCAGATCCTGTTCTAGACCCTGGGGATACAGCAGAGCTGAGGAGAAAAAAAAAAATCCCTGAGCCCACAGAACTTAATTTCTTCCAGGGGAGACAGACACTAAATGTAGCTAATAAGTAAGTTGTTTGCTATGTTAGAAGGTGATCAATGCTCTGAGAGCAAATACATCACAGGAGTAAAGAGGAATGGTCTTCAGAGGGGGCTGCATGGAGAGGGTGCCATTGGAGTAAAAAAAATTGAAGAAGGAAAGGGAGTGAAATCTGAGGGAGGGGCCTCAGCCAGCGCAAATGCCCTGGGGTGGCAGAGAGAAGAGGCCTTACCAGAGAGCACACTGGAAATATTTTGGGAGTTGGGGAAGTGTGGGAGATGGGTCAGACCAGGGTATATGTAACCTCGATTTAGATAGTAGTATTTAGAACAGAAGGTAGGGACTACCCATTTATCCTCCCATCCATCCACCCATCCACCCATCCACCTATCCATCCATCCATCCACCCACCCATCCACCCATCCACCCATTCCTCCACCCATCCATCCACCTATCCATCCATCCATTCATCCATCATCCATCCACCTATCTATCCATCCATCCATCCACCCATCATCTATCCATCCATCACAAAGTCCCTCTGTTGGCCAGGCTTTTGCAAGCAGAACAAACATCATTTTCATTCATCCCACTTGTAAGTTCTCGCTGTGATACTTATGCTAAGCTAAAAGCTGCCTTCCTGGATCTCTTCCCTGCCACTACTC